ACACTTGGAGAAGATACAGACTGCCCAGGCACATCATTGCTAAGTTTAAACTGCCAACTTAAAGAGGAAGTCTTGGAAACATGCAGAGAAACAGGACACGCTGTCTGCATATATGTGTCTATACAGTGTGTGACACATACATACACGTACAGGGGGACAATTTAGGTTAATATAAAATACTATCCTTCTAATTAAAAAAAAACATTATTTTTACTCAAAAGACAGATTTACAGAAAGAAGGAGAGGCACAGAGAAAAAGATCTTCCCTTCCACTGGTTACTTTCCAAGTGGCCCCAACGCCTGGAGCTGAGCTGTCTTAAAGCTGGAAGCCAGGAAGTTGCTTCAAAGCCACCCACGTGGGTGCAGGGGCCCAAGGACTTGAGCCATGCTGTACTGCTTTCCCAGGCCATAAGCAGAGAGCTGGATGAAAATGGAGCAACCAGGACACAAACACTCAAATGAGACATTGGCATTTGAAGGTGAAGGATTAGTCTATTGAGCCATGACACTGGCCCCTGTCCTTTTAATTTATTTAAAATGTACATGGTTGTTTATACACAAACATGGTCTTGGGGACTTGTCATGTAGTTATAACACATATGACAATTATAACACAGCAGTGGGAACTGGGGTGGTAAGTGGCCTTGTACTTGATTACATGGTTTCCATGTTGTCTATAAAGTGGGGCAGTATAAACCCTGAGTAGAACATGAGAAAGTAAGGTAATATACACAATATGTACACACCTTATCTACTAATTCTAGAGTGGAGAAACAGTAAATGCAAATAAGCAGGATTCCACAGGAAAGTAAAAGTGAAATGCCTGTCAATCTCTCTGCTTGAAGGGGAGGGAGGGGCATTACACGGCCAGGCCTCTGTCTTTGCCACCAAGACACAGAGCTGGTGAGAACGGCAGCTGACATGGACCCCAGATACAGTTCCTTCCTGGGAAATACAGATGGAGAGACAAGCTTTCTGGCCAAAGTCGGGCAAGGGGTTAGAGGGGGAAGTCCCTGTTTCTTGAACCCTGGACTTCCAGTCCAGAATCCTAGACAGAAAGACCCAGGCTGCCAATGTGTGTTACAGGCTGTGTGGTGTTAGTGACACTTCTGTCTTTCATGTTATTTTCTCTCCCTCTATAATAAATGAGTATATTTTTAAAGATTCACTTATTTTTATTAGAAAGGCAGATCTACAGAGAGAAGGAAAGACAGAGAGGAAGACCTTCCATCAGCTGATCCACTCCCCAAGTGAACCCAGCAAGACTGGAGCTGAACCAATCCAAAGCCAGGAACCAGGAGGATCTTTGGCATCTCCCATGTGGATGCAGGGTCCCAAGGCCTTAAACCATCTCCAACCCCTTCCCTGCTTTCCCAAGTCATAAGCAAGGAACTGGATGGAAAGTGGAATAGTCAGAACATGAACCAGTACCCATGGGATTTGGGGCTTGAAGGGGGATGGTTAGCTATTCCCATCATTGCTGCTGGTCCCAGAGAATATTTTGAGAAAAGATACCTCCAAGCTATGAAAATCCCTTTCTACTCTTCATGCTTAACACACGATCAATGTTACTCATCTGAATAAACTATTACTGTGATGGTTGCCAAACAACAAGTTTCTGATAGCATTCTCATGAGAAAGCAGTGTCAGCTGTTGCACCCCCAGCCTCTGGTGTCTTGTCACGACAGCCTCTGCAGACCGAGATGGGGACTTGTTCACATCTCACGTGGAAAGCCACCTCCTCCCCTGGACACAGCCTGGTGATTTTGTTATTTGGGTTTTATCCTTGCTTGCATTAAACACAGTGGCCTTTGGTGCTTCTGGCAAACACATCCCTATTGTGCATGCACCTGTTTAGTGACCCCGTACTCCACACTAAGCTGAGCAATGTGACGTGGTGAAAGTGGCTCCTGTGGATTGTCAATGTCTCCAGCTTATGTCCTGCAGAGCTCTTCTGTCGACTGATTCACTCCCCAGATAGCTGCAATGCTTGGAGCTCAGCCAATCTAAAATCAGGAGCAGCAGCAGAACTGCATCTCCCGCATGGATGCACAGGTTTATCAACTTGAGCCATCCTGTGCTGCTTTCCCAGGCTATAAACAGGGAGCTGGATGGGAAGTGGAACAGCTAGGATACTAACTGGTGCCTTTACAAGATGCCAGCACCTCAGGTGTGGTGGTGCAACAGGCTAGTGTTGTGCACTGTGGTGCTGGCATCCCATAAGGATGCCGGGTTCATGCCTTGGCTGCTCCATTTCTGATCCACTTTCCTGCTTAACGCCTGGAGGAGCAGCAGGAGATGGCTCAGTCGAGTTCCTGCAGCTTCTTCCTGGAGGTCCAGGTAGCAGGTCCAGAACAAGAAGGCAGATGGGTGGTTTTGTCTGGGAGTAGGGGTGGATGGAGATTGCACAGTGAGAATCTGGATTGCACAACGGTGTGCATTTATTAAAATTCTGTAAATGTACACATCAGACTTATGCACTTTATACAAAAAGTTCCTAGGCAAAGCAGAATTGCAAATAAATATATTTAACTCTAGTTATAAGTGTGCTAAAGTATTGAAGGGTGGTATGTATTGGTAGATGCAATTTACTTTGAAACGCATCAACAATAGAAGAGGGAGCGATGGAAGGATAGATGAATGTTAGAAGTTATAAAAGAATCAAATATAGCATGAAATTAATCTAGGTGGTGAGGCAAGGTGGCTGTTCTCTGGCTAATTCTGCCGACTTCTCTGAATGCTTGAAATTGTTCAAAATAAAATACTGGGTAAAGTAAATAAATGTCAAGTGTACTAAATACTTAAATATAGAACCACTTTCCTCCCATAAAACAGTTACAGGAAACTTTAAAAAGCATTAATAACCTTGGCATGAAGATAACGCTCAAAGCAAGCCAGAAAACTCAAGGAGATGAAGATAAAAGTAAATATTTTTGATGGTGTACAGCTCAGTCATTTCATAAGAAAAAGAACATCATAAACAATATCAAAAGAACAGCAGATGGGGTGGAGAAAATAATTATACATTTCTGACAAAAGGGTTAGCATTTGTAATATAAAGAGCCTTCCAGTAAGTTTCTACAAAAGCAGCAAATAATTCAACAGAAAGCAAAGTGAAGGCACACAGACAATAGAAGAGGAAACGTGAGTCCCAGCAACTGGATGAAGAGACATTCAGATCTCCAGCAGTCAGCTGAAAATGCCAGGTAAAACAAAATGAAGCGCCATTCTTCATTGTAGGATTAGCAGGACTTAAAGACTGATCACCCGCAGCACCGGGAAGATGCTGGAAGAGGGGCACATTCCCATAGTAGATGTGTGAAGGTTTACAAACTTCAGGAAGGCAATCTGGCAGTGAAAAGGAGAGACAGGAAAGGCACCCAAGAACACAGACGAGGATGAGGCATGAGGCACCTAGAAGGTTTTTTTGTTTTGTTTTTTAACAAAGAGGAAAATGTGGGGGGGAAAAGTCACATCCTAATGTTGAACATGATGGTACAGGGCAGAGGCTTGTCAACAATGGCCACAGGCCCAGTTCTGGTTGGTCACCTCGCTTAGCACATAAGCTAAGAACAATGTCTACAACCTTACAGGTGCTACGGCTCCAATGTTAGAGAGAAGCAGGCTAAGGTGTTACTAGGATCAGAAAGCCCACTCAGGTTCTGGCTGCTTTAGTTCAGATACAGAAAGGTCCTACTAATGCTGCCAAGAAGTCAGTGAGGACGGCCCAAGTACTTAGGGCCCTGACAGCCAGGGGAGAGGCCACAACACAGTCCCTGGCTCCTGGCTCACCCTGGCACAGCCCTAGCTGTTGAGGTCATTTCTCAAACGAACAAACAGATGGAAGATTTCTCTCTTCCTCTCTTTCTCTCTCTCTCTCTCTTGCTTTACTTTTGAAATAAATCCATCTTTAAAAAACTCCAGAAACTTTGTAAATAGTTAACAATTACATACAGTCCTCAATTTTGTCTCTTGATCAGCAGTCTAAAAATATTTGCCAGATTGTCCTTTATAAAAGAAGTGATCAACTCATGCCCCAGGGGAATTGTAGTTTATTTATTGTTCTTCATCTTTTACTTCTGTATGGTTTTGCTTTTTATAATAACCATGTATTACTTTTTAAAGAAGATGGATAAGTAGGCCAGGAATCAGGCATATCAATCACTCTGGCTGCACTGGAAATGGATACCAGGAGACAGAAGGAGACCGGGGGCTCTAGTGTGGAAGTTGCTATGACAAAGCATTACAAAAGCAGTGGTGCAGTGGAGTTAGCAAAGGATCGATTTTCCAGGCATCTGTACGAGGTGCCCAGGGATGAGGCATGGCTGGGGAGAACAGGAAGAAGTCAAGGGTGATTCCAGTTTCCAGTCCTTAGAGGAAAGTTTCCAACTAGTGAGACAGAGAGCGGGCAGGGGTAGACTGGAAGAGTAAATCCAGAGTTCCATTTTGAACTCACTAACGTTCTAAATGAACTGTGTGAACCAGGCATTTGGTAACAGATGATTAGAGCAGCTCAGGATGTGGAGTAGACAGGACAGGAAATACATACACAGGAGCACTCATCACATAGGTGGTACTCACAGAAGTGCAAGAAAGGCAGGGGACCAAGAATTTATCTGGTGACACACTGCCCAGCCCAACTTGGAGCTGAAAGCTCCATGCCTGGCTGGAGCTTGCTCCCTGCTGACGCACATCACCAGGGCCACCATCTACCATACTTCGAATTCTGTTCCTAAATTTCATCTTCCCACTGGCATAGGGAAACCATGGCTTTAAAGAACACACCAACCTTCCTGATAATCTGTGCCCAAATGTTTGGCCAATCAATTGCTTCATTTTCACTGGCTGGATGGCCTTGTGGCTCATGTTGTCTCCCGCCCTCCACCCCCTGTGAAGAGATCAATCAGTCCCCGGTCCCCTTGGTGTGACCTGCAGCAGGTCTCCAGCCACATGGCTGCCATCTTTTACTCTTGAATCTGAGCATCCCGAGGAAGACTCACCAGGGAGCTGGTGTAGGTGGGGTCTGAGGTGTCGTCTTGGAGGTAGCGGGAGAGGCCAAAGTCAGACACCTTGCACACCAGGTTGCTATTGACCAGGATGTTCCTCGCAGCCAGGTCGCGGTGCACATAGTTCATCTCAGCCAGGTACTTCATGCCCGCAGCAATGCCCCTAAGCATGCCCACCAGCTGGATCACCGTGAACTGCCCGTCGTTTTGCTGTAGTGAGACACAGGAATGTGGGTCAGGACAGGCATCGGCAGTTAAAAGGTGAGCACCTGATCTGTGGCTCACCAGCCTTAGTCAGGGTCACGGTCAGCATGTGGCCCCGTGTGCTATTGCCCTCTCCCCTCCCACATCTTTTCTTGAGTGCTCTGCTGTCTTCCTGGCCAAGTCCTGTGGATTTAATCTCCAGATTGCATCTCCAATTCACCCACTCCTCTCCCTCTCACACTGTCACCATTGCAACCAAGTCCTGTCATCCATCACCTGCAACAGCCTCTTGAGTCTGCCCCTACAATCTGCCCTCTCCACGGCAGCCGGAGTCATCTTTTAAAGACATAAATCAGGCCATGTCACTCCCTGACTTAAAACTCTAACAGTCTCCCATTGCAGGGAGGGAAATCTTGAACTCCTCAGTGTGGCTCATGCGATGCCCTGGGATGAACTGCTGCCTCCCCTTAGGCCATGTCCTCCCACTCACGCGCAGTGGTCACAATGGTGGACAACTTTCCTCCTGCCTCAGGGGCCTAACACAGATCATTTCCACAGCTACCTTTCCCCCAGGTCTCTGCTTGAATGTCACTTCTACGGAGAGACCACTCCCTCAACAAACCCTTCTCCAAACATGATTGTTTAATGAGCGCCATCTAGGACTCCTCTAGAGCAGGTGCTCCGTTTTCTTTTGAGCACCTATCACAAGTTTCCATTTTGCCTGTGCGTATGTGCAGGTGTCCATATGTGTCCTTGACCCGAAAACCTCAATAGCAAGAACCCTGTCTCTTTTGGCCACTGCAGTATTATCAGGGTTGAGAATTTTAATGTACATAGGTGGAAGAGTGCTCAATTAGCACAACTGAATGAATGACTTGTATGTCTCTGCCAGTGTGGCACTCTCTGTGAATGGCAGCTGTGGCTGCCGCCTTGTAAGCCACCCTGAAGTATTACCCTCTCTCTAGTCCCTGGGGGTTGTGTCTCGAGTGGCTGCCCTCCCTCCTTGGTGAGACGACAGACACTTCCAAGAACAAAGCCGGGCTTCTCTCTGTCTTCCACAAACTCCCAGACCTCGGGTCCGTGGATGCTAGCTACAACAGTGGAGCCTGGATCACGCTGCCAGACCAGCCCCAGATGCTCCCCAAAGGGCCATAGTTTGGTTTCTCTGATTAGAGCTCTGCCCCAGAACTGGAATGCTCCAGGTGGAGGCAAGGTAGGAGGAGGCAGGACACCCAGGGCATTGGTCTAGTTACAGAATTCAGGCACCAGGTAAGTCAGCCAACCTTCTGCCCAGAGTGCACATGTGAAACACAGAAAGCGTATGTGGTATGCAGGGCTCCTATCTGAGCATCTGCTATATGTGAGACTTACACATGACACCCAAGTATATTATCTCCATGGAGATAGGTCATGTACACACGGCTTCTAACAAAAAGCATTCTCTATGCCAAAAATAAGGAGAAACGAAAGGCTTTCCCAAAAGGACTGTTTATTAGAGAAAACACCAGTGATCAGAGTGTTTAACACTGACAGTATGAATGGCCCAAGACTCAGCTCCTCATGCAAGGTTGCAACCCTGTATCCATGTCCCAAGGATGGCTTCCCAGTCAATTGGAGGAGTACACAGACATTTCCCCCAACGCACTGGGTTTCACACAGCCCAGGCCCCAGACTATTTCTAACTTCCAAGCTTAATATCCTCCAGCTTGCTCAGAACAACTTCCCTCAGAGCACTTGCTTCAGACCACTCCTACAGAAAATGCAAAAATGTTTTCTGGAAATTCTGGTATCCAGCAGTTGTTGCCTCTCTGCGAGCTGGTTGTGCAGTAAATGATGCAAAGCCCCTTTCTTGCTAATGAACTTCAATCAACACCTTCTCCAGAAGCTAGCCAGGCTTGAGCCAGCCCCACACAACTCCTCCAAGTAGCACTCTACAGATTTCAGAAAGTTGTCAAGTAACTTCTGGCAGTCACCAAAAAAATGTATCTCAGCTGCGAGTCACACTGGTTGTGTTTTCTTCCATTCAGCTTGTTATTTCCCCACTGTAGGTGGAGACAACAACGTGGTTAAAAACAGATACCTCCCTAAGGAAGCTGGCATTCCGGGGAGTACACACTTGTGACTGCAAACAGTTAGGAACAGAGCACTGCTCAAAGTGCACACACCAATAGATCAACATTTCTTTTTCTTTCTTTAAAGAGGAGTATATTTATTTTGAAAGTCAAAGCTACAGAGAGGAGGATAAACAGAGAAAGGTCTTCCGTCTGCTGATTCACTCTAGATGGCCCCACCAGCTGGCACTGGGCCAGGCTGAAGCCAGGAGCTTTTTCTGGGTCTCCCACATGGGCGTAGGACCCAAGTACTTGGGTCATCCTCTGATATTTTCCTGGTTGCATTATCAGAGAGCTGGATCAGAAGTGGAACAACTGGGACATAAACCAGTGCCCATCTGGGGTAATAGTATCACAGGCAGTTACCTTACCTGTGGCACCACAACACTGTCCCTTGCATGTATGTATCTGCTTTGAGACGACAATGCCTTCCTAGGGCTGCTTTGTCACATGATCTGCTTCAAACTTTAAAAAAGTCACCTTTATCATTTCCGTGGTCAGCAGAGGTCAACACATGATGAAAGATCCAGGCTTTGGAACCCCTCAGACCCAGTCTGGATTCAGGCTCTACTTGAGCACCATATGTAACCTCTCTATCTGGAAAATGAGAACATCATGCCCATTCTTCCGAGGGCTACAGCGAGGTTTGATGAGATTCCACATGTGAAGGAGCTTATCTCGGTGTCCTGTGGATACTAAGATGGCAATAACGATTCCAGCTCTCACCAGCCAGCCAGAATGTCTCCCAACTGGGCTCTCCTCTGTGCCAGAGCGGGATATGGAGAGATACTGAGCATACCTGAGGCTGGAATTCTGCCCTTCTCCTGGCTTCCTGGGTATGGAGAGAGGTATTTTAGGATCATTGCCCAGCTCACGGTGCTTTGGGAGCTGAGCAGGTAGCAAGTACACAACTGTACTCTTCTTCACTCAGTCACCCAACAGTAGGAGATGATTGAGACTTAATGATGCAGGTCTGAAGTTAATGAACAAACCTCGGGGTTTCCCACCTCATTGCTTGAGTTTTGAAAGGCAAGCTATAACTCTGGAGAAGGTCCTTAAAACGGACCTGACGCAGTAGGCAAGATAGGAAACAGTACAGTATTTTTGCAGACAAGATAAAAGGGAGTCCAGAAAGTTCATATGATTAGCGTTCACCCTGTGTGGTTTTGAGCTATGATGTGGAATTCAAGACCAGAATAGCAAATTCTGTCTCCACTGTCCTGGCTCCAGTGCTGTGTGCCGTAGGGGGCTGTGTACAGCTTTGCTGGGAGAAGAGCCATGAATGGTGAACTCTTGCCCAAGTGCCTTCTCCATGGGAACATGCTGATTCTGCAATGGACAATGCACTTTCTTCAGGATCTGCAGGGGAGCCACATGCCCAACACAGGCAAAGTCATGTCTGTTGAATTCATCACCTTGTTGAAACCTGAAGATGGAAATGGGTAGGCATGTGGCACAGCAGTGAAGACACCGATCTGGATGCGCACACCCATGCTGCTCCTGATCCCAGCTCCCTGGGAAGCAGATGACAACTTACATCACATGGAAGACTGGGATGTTTCGGCTCCCTGATTTTGGCCTGCCCCAGTCCTGGCTGTTGTGGGTATTCAGGAGAATGAACCAGCAGGTGGGAGATCTGTGTGTGTGTGTGTGTGTGTGTGTGTGTGTGTGTGTGTGCATGTGTGTGAGTAGTGTGTCTTCCAAGTAAGTGAAATAAATAGTTTCCTAAAAAATGGATATATTCAACTGAGTAAGAACTGCTCAGTTCTGGTACAACTCCACAAGACGAAAATCCAGATATGAAAATCAGCATACAAAATAAGCAAGTTAAGAGCAACAGCAACAACAAAAGACTTCCCTGAGATTTCTTAGTGACTCTGGGGAAAAACCTGGCTCCATGTCAAGCATATGGTAAAAGTCCAGAGAGGAAACACAGACCCGGGTGCAGCGATTTCAACTCTCTTCCTTTTTTGAGGGGTGGGGGTCAAGGCATTGAAGTTATTGCTGGTCCTTAGACTAGGCAGGAAGGACTTGGTCTTTCCACTCTAATTGACGATGCCATTTCTGGAAATGAAATTCTCATTTGATTTATTTGAAGGCAATGATTCAGAGATTTTTAACTTGAGAGAGAGCTTCAAAGTGCACCCAGCTTAATGCCTGTAGTTTATGGATTGGGAAATGGAGTCACAGCCTCACAGCACAAGCTTGTGCAGAATCTCCACTCAGGACTTTTAATCTGACATCCGGGTTGCTGCCCCTATGCTCCACCTTATGCACGAGTTGCCTGGATGAGACATGTCCCAGTTTGACATGACTCAGTGACTTCTTCCAAGAATCTCACAGATACGGCCATCTGCAAACACTGTGGCAGAGCCATGGGGCCAAGCCTTAGGTGAGAAGTGCTAGGGAGTCTGTTGAGCTGCTCCGTGAAGACATGCGGGGCATGGATCCGGGCTTCCGGAGTTATTCTGATGATAAAAGAGAAGCCACCAGATTGCATCCCTTGGGTATAAGCGCTGAAAGGAAGTATTTAATTATGGGTTTGCATGCCACATCATGCATGGCTGTCATTTGCAGAAATATGGATCTCCACAAACCACTTGCTCAATGCATGATCCAGGAATAGCTGTGTTTCCAATCCCTCCAGGCTGTCGGGTCTCTGACTCCTGACGTATGAGAACATAAGTGGCTAGCGAGCAGCTGCGTCTGACGTGCTGATGGGCTCCCCGATGCTCTGACCCAGGCTGGCGCCATGGCCGCTCTGCACAGCTGCTCCGTCCATCGAGAACGAAAGAGTTGGAACAGAGGAAACAGTTGCACAAATTGAGGAGTAACCCCTTTCCTTTCTTCTCTGAAGAGTGATCCTAAAATTATCCTCTTTCCCAGCAGATGGACCCTGCAGAACTGAACTGATGACCTATTTTTTCAATTTTATCAAGCAGCAGATACATCAATTAATGTTGCTCTGCTCCAGGGTTTGGTAGGAAGGCTGAAATTAGATTTATAGATTACCTGCCTCCATGCTGTGTGAGGAGTCAGAAATGCTTCATTTCTCCCTCTCTCCTCCTGGCACCGGCCACTCTCAGCACTCCAGTCTCTTGCCAAGCCTTTCTCACTTTCCCATGCTCCTCTCTTGCTCCTAGGTATCCTGCTGCTGCAAGCAGAGCCTTGTGAGCACGGAACACATGGCTGGCCAGCACACCTCTGTGTCCTGGGCACCGAATGGGAACAAGTGCATAGGAGGAACACTGGCACGGGGGGTTTTCACGTTTGTAGGTTTTTGAGAAGTAGAAATTAATCTTCTGATTCGCTTGAACATATCAGGAAGGGAGTTTGCTCCCAGCGCCCCAAACATGTGGTGACTTTTTGGTAAAAGACAACCAAGAGACTTGTGGTAGAGATACAACTCCTGAAAATCTTCAGGATGGGTGCAACAGGTATTTTTTTTCTAATACTTCCTTTTTTCATGTTTATTCAAATGCTTCCATGAGATCTCTGATCCCAGATGAATGCTTCCAGGAGCGCAAGGTGTCGTGAACAGCCACTGAGACATCAGGGCCACCCAGGATGACCGGCTCTCTCCTGCTACTCACTAATAGCATGCTTCAGAAACAATTCTTCCTGTATTTCATTCAACCAACACACAGTAGATGCTTACTATGTAAGGTTCTAGGATTTCAAGGGATAAGGCATTTTCCTCCTTTTACCCTCGAGGAAGCTCTACTAGGCAAAGCATATAGGCCCCTCTTAGTTGTCCTATCCACAGAGTGAACATGCTATGGCCAAGTGACTCAGCAAGGCCACCAGTGTGAGCTGCTCTGTGAAGGAAGCTTCAGGGCCATGAAGTGCTGCTTCCATCTCCCTTCCCACACTGCAGCACCTACGCTCTGCTCTCGGGTGCTCCAGCCAGCTCCCAGCTGTTCACAGACAACCAAGCAGGCCATGCTTCCCGTGGCTTCAACACAGTGCAGGGCTGGGCTGTTTGTGTTCCCACGTGTTTGGCAAATTCCTCATTCTTCAGCATCAGATAACTTCTCCCTTCGCTTTGATACCTGTCCAGGCGTCCCCCAAAAGAGCTAAGTCCTTTTCGGTTGTGGAACGTCTGTACTCCACTCGTGGAAGCCTAACAGAGGCAGCGGATCACTAGAAGTCTTTGGTCACTCAAGTCTTCAAGAGCCGGGACCGCACCTGTGCCTGTTGTCATCTCTACCACACACAAGTGAGAAGCGATGCTCTGGTCTCTTGCAAACAAGGAGGCATGGGGTTGCTGCTGTCCCATTCGCATGTGGAACTGTTTTTGTCTCCTTGAGTCTAAGTGGGGCTGTCTCTGTGATGACAACACTGACCTCAAAGACGAGGTCCCCAAGGTGTTGTAACTCCCACTGTCTCCTCTTGGAATGTTTGTTCTTAGGACCCAACTTAAAAACGTCCAAGAGGCCCGAGGGACACATAGTGGCAGCCACCAGACACACATGTGGACAAAGCTTTGGGCCATTCCAGTTGCACTCCTTAATCAGCTCCAGCTGACACCATGTAGAACACAGATTCCCCATTAAAGCCTGCTGTATTTTCCAATTCATGAACAAAATAAACTATGGTTGTTGTGCTGGGTCACTGATGTTTGGAGGGATTTGTGACTCAGCATTGGAGCAATGCCTCTTTCATCGCTGTAGGCCCAGTGTCCAGCCCAGGGCCTGGCCAGAGTTGTCACCCATGGACAATTCAGTCATCCATTGTAGGGATGCCCTTTGCTCAGCAGCCACTGCGGTTGCTGGGTGCTTCTGCTGAGGCGTACAGCCCGCTTCCAGCTGAAGAACACTCAAGTCCTTGCTTGCAAGACTCCACCTACTTTTGTATGTTTCCTCCTGGTTTGAGTAAGATGCTACCTCCAAGCTAGGTTCCACCCCTGGACAGCAACACTTTGGCCATTCTCACTCATTCTTTTTCTATGTGGCTCATGGACACCCTTCAGAAACAAAAGTAGGGCATGCTTTGGTCTTGATCTTTGCATATGCCTCCCAGCCAATAGGGCGGGAGAGGCTTTTCTCTCTGCTGCAGGTTGGGCGACGAATCACAAGCTTTAATCAGCTCCAGAAAGATGGGTGAGGATGGATGGCTGTGACTCAGTGTTCCCTTTCCCTGCCCAGAAGTACCTCCTGGTAAGACAGGTGGTGCAGGTATCAGAAAATAGCAACCTGCTTCTCTCAGAGCTGCAAATGAAGATAGCCAGCAAGATGTGTGCGTGTGGAGGGGATGTGTGTGTGTGGCACTGCTGGTGAGAGGTAGAGACGGCATCTGTGTGAGTCACACGGGGCTACGGAGCTGCCGCTGTGACTCACCCAAGTGCCAAAGGCCCTCTCCCCACATCCCACTCGTTTGATTTGTCCAGCCCTCATTCACCAGTGCCTGCTGCATGCCCTGCTCCTGAGGACACACAGCTCTTTGTTCTCTCAGCAGCAAGCCTCAGCTCACCCTGCTTGTGTCTCTCATGCCAGCCCATACTGGATCAGGCGAGTCCACCACGTGGGTTATCCTCGTGGGACCTTTCTCCCCAGCCAGCCAGCGTGCATTCTAACATCACACATGCCCCCTGAGCTGCTCTCACCCTGAGGAAGGAGTCCAGAGCTCCATTCTCCATGAACTCTGTGATGATCATGACAGGCCGACTCTTGGTGACCACGCCCTCCAGGCGAATGATGTTGGGATGGTCAAACTGGCCCATGATGCTGGCCTCGCTCAGGAAGTCCCGGCGTTGCTTCTCTGAGTACCCAGCCTTCAGCGTTTTGATAGCCACGTAGATTTCCCTCTTGCCTGGCAGTTTCAAGCGCCCCTTGTACACCTCTCCAAATTCTCCTGCAACAGCAAGAACGCAATGATTATTCTCTTCCCTTGCAGCCTACGGAACCACAAGGGGAGGCATCTTGTCAAGAACAATGGCGCTCAGAGTGGAATCGTGTTTAAGGTGGCAGAAATTCAAATACTGTTCTTTCATTGCAACTAGAATGTCTTGGCGCTAATCAGTTCGTGGCAAACACAAAAGAAATACCAAAATACATTCCTTACCTAGGCTCTTGGAAATAACTTGGATAACTAGAGTGCAATTTCCAAATTTACAAACTTATGGGTTTGTTTTCCCCCTGTTTAGTTTTTCATTTGTGTCCCAGCTGAGTAATCGAAATGGTCAGCCTCGCTTAGCAGAGTCCTAACTCATTTGTAGCTGATGCTGGCTCCAGAGCGTCCATGGGATGAGGGTGTATTTGAGCATCTGGGCGCAGTAGGAGATGTATGCTGCTGGTGCCCCCACACTGCTCTGAAAGCAGTGGGGTCTGCCAAGTCCTGTGGAAAGCAGGCACTGAGGATCTGGGAAAGGAAGAAGATCATTTTCGGAAGGTCAAAGAGGAAAGAGGACTGGGCCGCACCTGAAGGGCCCTAGATTATCCAGCAGATCATCCTGTAAAGTCTCAGCCAATCCAGCAACAAGTTCCAAAGCAAAGAGCTACTGATCCAGAAACAACTGGGTGGGTCCTGACCTGTCCCTGGCTGGGAGCCTCTTTGGAGAAACTGAGGCAGCCCCCGAAGCACCACAGTGGGAGCTCACTGCTAACCACACTGCTGGCCACGGGCAGGCAAGGCAGTTCTCCAAGCAGCACCTGCACGCTGCCACAGCACTGAAACTTTTCCACAGCAAAATCACCAACAGTAAAAACAATTCTGGTGACATTGTTTCACAGGTGCCTAAAAAAGGGAAAGTGCTGAATTCTGTTTAACGTGATTTTACGATTCAGTTTGGTTTTGTAACTTCCAACGTTTCTCACGTGAGGAAGTTAAGTATCTGCTGGTAAGTGCATCGCTGCTATGCGTATCAAAGGCCTGACAAGAGAAACGTGGGTTTCTGCTGGGGAAACTTTCTTTTTTTCTCTTTTAGCTTCTGAAATAAAATGACGGTGCCAACTGTGCGCAATCAGATAAATTACTGGCCGCATTAGAAAGACAAGCTAACATGGCCCCTGCGGCTTCCTGGGAGCTCCTTTTGTTTTCCTGCACAAAAGGAGATTAGAAGAAGCTGCATGAAAAGGATTTGACACATAACTACTCCAGAGCACTGAACCTGATGGCACATGGGGCTGGAGAAGTGGTTGCTTTAAGCACCAGGAGGAATATTTCAGCCTGGACCTAACATGAAGATAGGTGTCCCTTGTAATATTGACGGTGACATTGATCGCACGCTATTCTGATGAACCGACTGGGGTCAGACAGTCTCTTCTACATTTGCAGCTTACGCCTCTACTGCGGTGCCTGGGACGTGACAGGCATAGCAATCGAACAGCACATCACACTCGTCACCTGGCCCCGCCCACTCTTGGGTGAGCAGCTGCCAGCGTCGAGCAGCAGCATATCCAAAGGAAGTGGAAGGACTAGTATGTAAATGTGTGTGTTCACCAACGATTACTGAAACAGTATCATCTACAAACATTGCATCACCCTAACCGGGGAATGGCTGAAAAACAGCATGTTCACCTTGCAAAACACCATGAGCTATTGCAAACTAATATCAGAGGGTATGGACTGACTTCAAGAAAAGTCCACATTACGTTGTTGAGCGAAGAGAAGCAAGTGATAAGATAGGATATGCAGTATGTGCCCATATGGTGTGTGTGTGTGCCTATGCACGCATGCAAAAGAAAAAATGATGGAAAATCTTATCAAATTTATTTTTAACCTCAAATTATTTTTAAAAATGGTGACACTAGAAGGATGGGAGTGTGAGGGGAGAAGTAGAGATTAGTATACTTAATTTAGTAACTTTTTGTTTGAACTGTTATAATAAGCATTAAACTGGTAGCTAAAATGAGCAAGATTTAAAGAAAAGTACTGGGAGATAAGAGCCTGAAACTTATGTGTTACACTCACATATGTGGACATAAATCTGTATTTCTATATACCGGTGCACATGTATGTAATTCATGCCTATGCTTCTTTGCTCTAATAGATATTCAATAACTATGCAGAGTGCGTAGTTGGTAAATGCACTAATTAGTGTTATGCAACTAGTATCACATTAGCAAGTACAGCACAAAGTTTCTTCCTCATTGTCACAACAATGACTTCAACTGTTTCTTTTTTCTTGAAATAGACATAATTGAGCATTGAGGAAAGGGTATGCGTATTTTCCTTCTTGGAGGAGATGCTACACAAATACTACTCACGGGCTCCCTACCGTGTGCCAGCTACTATGCTAAGCACTTCACGCAATACAGCCCACTCGCCCCTTTGACCTGGATACTACCATGCCAATCTGACAGGAAACTGAGGCACTCGGCAAACAAGACCCATGCCACATGACTGTGAGCGACAGGCAGGCTTGTTGTGCATGTCCATCATTTTGCCCATCACACTGCCACAAGGTCACCATGGCTCAGTTGGCAGTGCCACGGGGAATGCAGCTGGTGGATGGGAAGTCTCCATTCAGGCACCGTTCCCCCAAACTGTTCAGCACCTAACAGCTCCCATGTAGTGACTGCCATGGCAATTCAGTGTGGTGAGAGCACAGCAAATGGAACTGCTGGGGGCTAGCACAGTGGCTCAATTAGCTAATCATCTGCCTGCAAGCACTGGCATCCCATATGGGCGCCAGTTTGAGTCCTGGCTACTCCACCTATGATCCAGCTCTCTGCTTACGGCCTGACAAAGCAGCAGAGGATGGCTCAAGCCTTTCAGCTTTTGCTTTCACATGGGAGTCCTGGAAAAAGCTCCTGCTCCTGGCTTCAGCTCAGCTCAGCTCTGGTTGTTGTGGCCATTTGGGAAGTGAACCAGCTGATGGAAGATCTTTCTCTTCTTCTCTCCTTCTCTCTGTAAATCTGACTTTCCAATAAAAATAAATCTTAGAAAGAAAGAAAGAGAGAGAGAAAGAAAGAAAAAAGAGAGATAAATAAATAAATGGAACTGCTTCACAGATGTTATTCATTTAAGGTTCTTGCCCAGAAGTCAACAGCAATCATAATGCTTAAGATTCAGGATATTTGTCAATTCTGACACAATAGTGTGTGGAGTGAGCAAACAGCTCCAGGTGAATCTGGTGTTCCCCAGTGCCCACACAGACACGCACAGGGAAGTTAAGCACTGTTTCACACCAGTGCTTCTCTAAGTTGGCTGCCCCTGCAATTGCCCAGGAAGCTGCCCAGAGTTCAGATCCCATGTCCACCTCCCGAGATTCTGATGAACTGATCTGAGGAGGACTCAGGTGTTGACATATTTCAGAGCTGCCCTCAAGATCAGCTTCAGAATTTGCAAAATGAAAATGCAAAAGCCCTGGTTAGAAAATCATGGAGAACTTCAAGACTGTGCCAGCAGAGCATCCAGCTAAGCAGGGGCCCCTCTGAACCCTGGGCCTTTGTGCACGTCACAGGCCTATGAAGCCAGGCCTGGGGGCCCAGTTGACTTGGAGGCACAGTCAAGATGGAGTAGACTGAAAATCAGGAGCCAAGCCAAGTATATTTCAAACAGATGAGTGGATTGCCAAGAGCCCAGAGCCCCAGGGACTCATCTCTGCAGCATTTGGGAAGCCGAAATTGTGTCTGGGTCGACACACATGGTAGGCTTCATGGGTGAAGAGCCCTTGGAAAAGAAGGAAGAAAGACACCAATAAATGTATGGATGTGCACAGCTGCCTCTACACAGAATGATGTTGACCGAATTATTTTCCTAATTGACAAATGTAATCTCACTGTTTCATTTCTGTGGCTAACTGATCTAATACTTCAGCTTGGGGAAGTAATGGAAAATAGCCCAAGTGTTTGAGTCCCCTGACCCCATATAGGGAAGCTGGATGAAGCTCCTGGCTTCAGCCTAACCTATCCCTGATCTTTGTGGCCATCTGGGAAGTAGACAAGCAGAATCAGTCAATCTCTCTCTCTCTCTCCTTCAATATAAACAAATAAACTTTTAAAAATATTGAACAATACAGTTTGCTTTCCCAGTGGACAGTGAGGAAGGCTTTGCAGTCAATGACTTCGGTGTTTCTGATGCTCCCAGGATGCTGCTCGGCGGTGCCTTCAAGAATGGCGATTCTGTAAAAATAGCTCCTTTCCCGTCTGGGAAAGAAATGACTTCATATTCTCCAAGCCAGGAGATTTTCAAAGTACCAACCACACAGGCAGTCACTTAATCCCGACTTCGCACTTGGAGGCTGTGTTTGGCCCTGTAATTAAGTGACCCCGAGTGTGAGTAGGAGGGCACTGAGTCCAGGAGCAGGTGCCAAGTCCACCTGGGAACCACACCTGAGTCAGCCGACCTTGGCAGGGCCCTTCACTCCATGGAGCTCTGCTTCCTCTTCGCTGTACAATCAAAAGAAATGACACACTGCCATGCCTTCTTTCAGGACTGCAAACTGCAAGGAAGCATGCTGTACATGGCACACTGTCTAAGATTCACATGGGTGGCAATCTCCAACAGAAGGGATGGGGAGCGGACGTGGCAAGGCTCAGAGTTGTGTGTCGGGGGTGTGGTACTGGGGAGAGCAGAGAGAAAAGCAGTTCAGCCTTGTGAGATTTGCAGGGAGTGACCCAGGATGTTAGTCCAGTGTCTGCCTGGACTAACAGAGAAGTCTTCCTGCCAGGCACTGGACACAACGCCCCAGAGACACCCAAGATGCTCAGGTCTGGGGGTCTCTGGTCCCCTAAGCAACTCCCCAGGCTTGAGGGAGGTAGGCATATCACTGTGACAAACGACACACCAAACCAAGACCCCGAGCCACTCACAGTTGGAGAAACTGCTTCTTCCCTGCCATCTTGGACTTTCAATGCAAACACAATCTTCAAGACCCTTTGCTTTTAGATCATTTTCCTGCAAGCAGGGCCAGGGCTTGATGTCTGTGGTGCTTTGATTTGCCATGATCTGCATTCCAAAGATTTTTGTCTGATAGGAGCCTACATCATGGTCATGCTTATTCCATTGTCTTAGAGGAACATTCTGATACCTAACAAGTAGCTTTCATAGATCAGAAACTCGCCTTAGTATTTCAAATCAGGGTTTACAGGAAAGGATGCATTCAGAAGATGGCTGGGGCTGGCTTTTTACCTGCTGACTCTTTCCAGCAGCAGGCATGGCGTCACTGTGGCCTGGCTGGACTCCAGTGCATCTTTGCAGCTGATCCTGGACCCTTGACCCTCTTCTATGGCCAAGGAACCACTTTCTTGATTAGGATCCAGCCCCCAACTTCAGGTCCGTCTAGTGGCCCATGACACTTAACCATGGATATGCCCTCAGCCTCACCTAGGCACTTGCCAGCAAACACAGATTCTCCAGCCCAACCTGAACATCCTGGACTCAAAGCTCAGGATGTGGGGGCCGTGGGATCTGGCTGCACAGGGCTCCAGCTGTGTGTGCTGGGGCTCAGGTGTGACATCAAGACAGTCTGCTGAGGGTAGCCGAGCCCATTCTAGAGCTTTCCCCCGCAGACAGCTGCTGACATTATTACCTACAAGTTTCAGCTCCTTGCCAATACCTCTTTCCTATATTCCTTGACAAAATGAGGAAGAGAGAAAAAGTGGTTCAGCAGCATTAAATGCCTCAGCTATTATATATAAAATCAGAAGGAAAGAATTTTCAATTTTTGGAAATGAAACAGCCAACCTGCTAGCAGGTATTTCAAGCGGTAGCTGTTGGCTATGTGCAGTGCGAAGCTACACACACAATTGCACTTTTTTTTTCTTAGCAGCATTTTGAAGTCACAAACTGCCTTGAGGGGATAAAAAGGAAGGCAGAGCTTCTAGTTACTAATTCAAGCTTACATGAGAAATGAAACTTTTAAAGAATAAATTTAAAGTAGGTTTTAAGGTATGATTTCCAGCCCTAGCCTGTGCAAGATAAGTAAGTAGGTTATGGCTAAACCAGTAGAACTGGAAGCATGGCATGGATTCCACCACCTCATGACTCAGCCTGGAGGGCAGACATCACTAATTGATCACAGCCATCTCCACTCCGCTGCAACAGAGTTCCTCAGATGCCCATTAGCCAGCTCCTGAAGTTGGCATACGAGGTTGAACTTGCCTGACAACCACCACGTATGTGAGGAGGAAGACCTGGTCTCTTCCCGAGCTCTTTTTATTAGAGGGACAACGACACGCCTGCATGTCCTCCGGAAACCATTGAATTTTCCTTTTCCATCACTGTCCTATGCATTGCCATAAAATCTCCACTTTTCTCCTCATTTCCATCCCTGAAGATTGAGGCCCAAAGGCATCTCCTCTCCCCACTTTCCAACATGACTCTCCGCTGATTCATCCTCTGAACTAGTCCACTCTGTGTGCCTGGGCTGTGTGTGGATGATATAAAACAGCAGACTGCTACTGGCTTGCCTGTTGTAGGACAGACTACCAGGCCTCTGAAGGAGTGAGCTGTTTACTCTGGAACTCCATATCCAACAGGCAGAAGTGCTCAGCGGGGAAGAGGGGGAGGTGGGGAGGAGGTGCAAAGGAAGGCCAGGAGGAAGGGAGGAAGGAAAGTTGAATTGGGATCCTTCTTAGGGTGTTTCCACATGGCAGCCCAGCCTTTGCCCCCTGCTCCAAGTGTCTAAGGTGGGTAAGAGAAACATTTCTAGCTATAAATCCCACCCCATACACCCATTTTTGAATGTGACCTTCACACCAGCTCTTCTAGCACAAAGTGGAGTCAGTTGAGAGGTGAGAGTGACGACAGAGGAGAAAGGAAGTGGAGACAGAATGGTTCCGGGCAGGAGAGTCTCAGGTTAAAGTTGCCTGAGGTTGTCTAAAGGGATCTCCCAGGGTTTAGCTCTGGAAGCTGACCAAATCCTAAGGATCTTTAGTCACGGGGCTGGACACCCTGTAAACTGCGCCATGCATCAACCTCACACCAGTGGGAGTCACGGAGAGAACAGAAGCTTCTCTGAGTTGAATGCAAAAGCATGACAGCAAGCACTGTCCACAAACGGAAGGTGGGCGCTGAGTGGGACCATCCATTGTCCCTTTATGGGCATCTAGCAGTTGGTGAGCTCACTCCAACCTGTAACTCTGACAGGGCCATAAAGTGAGCAGCTCACTCCTCCCTCGCGACAGAGGCAGGAGGGGCTGCTGTGTGCTCCCCGGGCGAAATGCAGCCCACAACACATCACTCTGAGACACGACATAAATAACAACATTAAAATCACTAGCGCCATTACCGCAAGCCATAACAGCAATTAATAACACGGGCAAACAGAGTGCAAGGCTGAAAGACTGCCCTCTACTCCCCGACCCAGCCACCATCACAGAGCACTCGCTCAAGTTCAGGGGAGAAATGTGAGCTCCTGAGAGTCACACACAATTTATCTGGTACCCAGCTTTCCAAGGCATGAGCCTTAACTAGGTCAGCATCTAAGGAGGGAACAAAAGCGATCAGTACCGAAGGGAAAGTCGTGGTTCAACAGCACAGTTAATGAACATCCTTGGGAAGGAGGTACAGACTCATGGGATCCAGTTCTGGTCAACTGGCTGGAGCTAATGAGGGGTTGGCTGGAGGAGGTCAGGGTGTCCTGGCAGGGAAGAGCCCAGCACCTACCGTCATTGGGATGCTTGAGAGTGTCTGAGCACAGAGTTCTTCAAGAGGGAAGCCAGAGCATGAACATGGCTGCCTAGTGGGGCAGGCTTTCACATATGACTTCCAAATCCAGATGGCTTTTTGACCCTTGGGTGCATTAAGAGAGGCAGTGAACGGAAGCATGGTGACATTCCCTCTAAAAGTAATATATGAAGTGGCCGTCTGCGACATTTTGACTAAACATGGTTTACTGAGCTAAATATTATCAGGAGTGGAAGCTCTGTGGCTCTCCAAATATTGATATGAATAAAGCAATTCAGCTCCAAGAGCTCAAGAGAAGACTGCTACAGTGAATCAGCGAAGAGAGCCTGAACAGTGACTAAGACGGATTAGAGAAGAAAAGACACAGAACATTGCAGAAGGACATAAAAGGAAGGAAGGGGATACACACTCGACACATCTTTTAGAAGAGTCATAAGAGACAGTAAACAGATCATTTATAAAGCAGTGACATTTGAAGTTTTGACATGAGGTTTTATTTCACAATAAGGTTGGGTCCGTCACTAAGTCAACTTCTGACCCACTGGAGATGAAAATTCTGGTTCAGTCCTTAGACGCGGTTTCCTGCATTCCAGACAGTTCTGCTCTGGGCTGTGTTTCTCTTCCAAATGCAAGGTTTGTCTCCAAACACGTGCCCAAAGGAACAGGGGAACTCAAAGCTTGGCAAGCAGTCTTGGCCCAAAGCCATGAAGACATTGTGGCCAGGGAGTAGCATGCAGATCCACCTTCTGAAACTCTTGTTTCCTGCAAATTCTTTCTGACCATGCACTCTACATCTCTCTCCTCCCTGCATTGTGGGGCCCATTGGCAGAGCAGTTGATGAAGCTTCTCAAGCGACACCTGATCATTCTGCAATACTAGGTAAACACCATGACTAAGGTCCCCCAAAGATTCCCAGGAAAGGTCTCCCTCTGGCCTAGACACGCAGGACATATGGTCCAGGCTCATCTCCTGAGGAAAGAGAAAGTGGAGGCTGTCTTTCCCAAGGGATGGTTTCTTAGGCTGGAAGGGAACAACAGCAAGAAGACATGTAGATGCCAAGAGGACAGAAATGAAGGGGAGGGAGAGCCATACCTGCTCCGATGACCTCTTCGATTTTCACAAAAGACACATCAATCTCCTTGGCAAACTCCCGGACAGCCTCGTTGGGGTCCTCATAAGTGAAGGGGTCAATGTAGATCTTCATGCCTGGCGAGCCTTGTTGGAGGAGATAAGCAGGGTTAACATCCCAAAGAGGACAGGGTGTTAGTTGAACTCTGCTGCGGGCCCCAGCGTAGAGGAGCACGGCGCACCTGGGGCTGCATCCTTCCTGGGCGATCCTTGCCTGACTCAGCCACCTCGTCTCCCTCCCTCCGGACCTCTCCTGCCTGGTTTTCTGCCCTCTACTTCTCCTCCATCTTCTCTTCCCTATTTGAGCTCCTGATGAAATGTGGAACAGATTACTTCTAAGTGACAGATCGGGACCAGTTCCCACACCGGGTGCTCACAGAAGGCAGAGATGCTGATTGATGCCAAGCAAACGCATTAGCAGAAAAGTGGTGGGAAAATGGTAGGGTAGATATCAATATTTATCAACTTGACAAGTTTCCTGAGTGGAGGCCACAGTTAAGGTTATAACTGACAGCTGTGGTCCGAGGTTGTAAAAGGGATGAAGAAGGAGGGGGAAAGAAAGGAACGAGGAAGGAATGGAGGGAGGGAAGGAGGGAGGGAGGGAAGGAAGGAAGGAAGGAAGGAAGGAAGGAAGGAAGGAAGGAAGGAAGGAAGGAAGGAAGGAAAGAAGGAAATTGCTGTTAGGAAAAAATCCTCAAAAGGTTAGTGCCAAGACGGAATACTGGAGGACAAAATGTGAAGAGGGAGGTTTAGAAAATTCTATTAGAAAAAAAGCAAAGTCTACATAGAAAAAAATGAGATGAAATGAAAGAAAAATGGTTTTTCAACCCCCATGCCTTCAGACACACTGAAGTATGAAAAACGAATAAAATGGTGAACGAGAAATACATAAAGGCATATAGAGCTTGTCACTGACATACACAGTGGTAAGACAGATAGGTGTGCATGGGGACAAAATAGAGAATTGTCATTGCAGAAAAAATACATTCAAGGAATGGAGAAGAGGGGACATACAAGTAAATGGAACCCAAGAAACAAATGGCTTCACTCACGGTGTAATTTGTCAACATGTTTGATGTGTCATTAGGTAAAGTGTAGCAGAGGCAGGGGTTTCCAAAGCCAGGCAACATAGTCTGGGGTCACATCCTTGGAAGCGTAGGAGGCCTCCCTCCAATAGCTACCATTGTTCTGTCTCCCATGAGAGTCACAGCAGAACACAGCTGGGTTGCCAGGCCTATGTGCAAAGCAGGCAGGCTGAGCCCGGGCTTGACCACATCACCACCCCAGCCACTGTTGCTCCTTCTCACTGCCCCCAGACCTCCACCCATGCTCTAATTTGACTATTCTCACCTGCAAAACCTTCCGACAGGTCTATAGTTCCCTAGATCAGCACTGCCCTGGTCGCCAACTCAAGTAAATCTCAGACGTGTTAGACCCTAGTCCAAAAGCAGGAAGAAGATACAGCAGAGAACTAAAACTAGAAATAGGCAACTATCTTGAAGATTCCAAGGCAACCTGGCGTCCTGCTCCAGCAGCTAGATAACGGCCAGCCCTGCCCTCCTGTTTGCAGTGTGGCTAAGAACATTCTAGAATGCTCCCTGGAAACTTGGATGATGCAAACTTTGCACAAAGCAAGTAGATAGTTCCTCACCATGACAGAGCATGTTTTAATGCCCAGGGGTGTGGGAGCGTGGTGTGTACACATTAGCATGTCCAAGAGATACCTCTAGTTCACTAGCAATGGGCAAAGAGAGGATAGAGACCAAGAACTGGCCCTTCTCATTTGTCGTAGAGAGCAAGAACTGGCACAGAACCAGGAGCAGCACCTCCTGGCCACTCTGGTGTTATTCTGGGTCTCCCCTGAGGCTTAATTTTGACAGCAGGTGGCTTACTTGGAGGCAAAACCAAGAAGTACTGTGTGAAGCAGGAGTTAAGACAGGGCAAAGAAGGCAGCGTCTGGGAGCCATGTGCTCAAACTGGTGCATCAGTGCTCCCTGACACAGGTTTAGTCGCACCAAAGCAGTTCTGGGAGCTAGGGCAGGGGACCACAAGCCTGAGTCTGCTCGTTCTAGGGTCAGGAGAGACAAGGTATTTCCCTACTCATTGCCATCAACATTGGTTGGGGGCTGCTTGACCTGCTGCCTAAGTGGGTGTTGGTGCTGGGAGACCCCACTGGCACCAAGACTGGATAAATCATTCGGGCAAAAAAACAAATGCTGCCAGCAGGCAGATGTTAGCCACTGTACAGTGGTAAAGGGAGATAGAACAACAGGTGATAAGTGTAATGAGAATACAAGAGGGCCAGCAGGACATTGCCAACAAACTGTGACATCTCCAGAGTTCCACATGGCCAAAGGAGAAGGGTCAGGGGCCAGATGCCAGGGCCCATGGGGGAGGTTAGAACCCTAAAAGTTTCTACAAGCCCTACACAATCTGATAAGTTCATACCAACTCTTAGAAAGGTGTTTTCTCTGATGAACGGGGAGAGAATAGCAGCCATCACAACGGACTCTCCCAGCACAGTGCCTGATGCACAAGGAGGCCTCGCTAGCAAGCGGACTCAGGTCTAGCATCAGTCAATTTTTCAAGGAAGTGTCTGGGGATGTTGGAAGAGGAAGCAAGGTGAGGTGGCAGTGGGGGACATAAGCCGCTTAGGGCTAGATTAGTTGCTTTAAAAATAACTACGTTGCTATTTCAGATCAAGGGCTTTGAAGCGATATGTGCTAAGCTATTCTACAGGATTCTTCCATGAAAACTAATTAAACAATCCAGAATGTGTTGTAATGAATGGTCTGCAAGGAAAGACATACATGGGGACAAATGGGAAGGGATTCTGAGTTAATGCGATTTACAAAGAGCAGTTGAAATCAGCTGGGAGAAGCAGCTATTTCCACACACAAGGGACAGCATTCCCCTCCAGAGAGTTCCGTCTCCTTCTGGCTAGTAAGCCGCAGTGAAGTGCACCTCTGTGCAAGAAGCCCACACTTTGGGGAGAAGGGTGTGTGTGTGCACATGCACAAATTCACAGCTGCCCCTTGGGGGCCAGGAGCTTTGGCTATCACAGAGGTCTTTCAGTAGAGGTCAAGGTGGCTACCTGAGGTCTAGCAGGGGGCTACTTGATGATGCAAAGACTATTTAGAATGCACAATGACTGTATTTATTTCTCCTGTAATTGAGGAAAGCACTGACAGTTTGGGGAAATGAAACTAAGAACATGAAATAGCAACCCAAGAAATGGCCCTAGCTCGGTGCTTTTCTGATAGTATGGCCTGAGCAGACAGCCCAGGCTCACCTGCCCCATCTGGGGGCAGGATTCTGCGTCCCTGACCAGAAGAGCACAGATGTGGGCAATGGCTCCCACCATCCACTTCATCTTGCAACGACACAGCTCCCCGTGCCCTCTCCCACCACATAGCTCGCAGAAGTCGATGAGGGGAAAAAATGCCTGTAGCTAGGCAGAACAGGTCATTTGTCTTTTGGCTCATTTTGTGTTTCTGCATAAATCCTGCTTCCGCCTGTTCCTGCTCCCACTTGCCAGTGAGCAGTTTTTAATTATCAGGAAAATGGTATTTAGTGCAATGAATCACCAGCCAGCGAGCAAGGGATTCGAGCTGGCTGCAGACTCAGGCGCAGCCAAACATTCGGAGACGGGGCTCGGAAGATGCTGTCAGAGTGTGCATGTTGGGGAAATATTAGTGGTGGTAATAATAATATCAGATGTAACATATCCCTATAATGCATGGCGTTTCATAATAATCTGTACAACACTTCACATTATTATTATTATTAATATGAATGCTGACAATATATTTATCATATTTTACAATTTCCAATTATTTTCATGGCAGGTTACATATCTTTGGCACAAAGCTGATACTCATAGATCAAGGGTTCTGACTGTTGATGCCTTCAGAGGAACAAAACAAAAACCAATTTTCAATTTTAAAATCTTTTCAGTTGCTAATTTTATATTTAAAAATCTCATCTGCAGGCATATTTATTCTTTAACCTCAAAACCCTACTTATGCTGCAGTTAGGGTCATACCCTGGAGACCACCAGCTCAGGAGATCTGGAAAATCCAAAACATGAATCATGGCTTTAAGGATGTGGGGTGGGGGCGGGGCCCTGCTGCATGGGATGGGACAGTTCTTGAAGCAGAGGAAACTTGTGGCCATCGTCAGATGGTCCACAGCAGTACCAGGAGGCACTCAGAAGGAAAGCAATGGGGCCAAGTTGTACGGATGCTGCAGACCCGGGAGGCATGGGGATGGGAAAAGCCAACAGGACCATTTGCAAGTGCCATGGGCTTAGGGAAGAGCAGAGGGTGCTGCAGAAGGGACAGGTGTGAACAGCAGGTGAAGTTTGTGGGGTAAAAGCTACACGAAGAAGACTGAGTGCTCCCATGCATGACTCTAGTGCTCCCAGCAAGTCCAGAGTCAATGTCACAAACACAATGAAACTTCAGGGGTCAGCCAGCAAGAGCCTGATGGCTTTTGGCAGGTGGAGAACTCCTAGAATCCTATAGGATGTTCTCAAAGAGCTATCCCAGTGGGTTGCTTTTAGTTGGTAACATCTTGGCGCCCTAGCAGGTTTGGCCAGCAGCATGCGAAAGTGACAATCTTCATTCTGGATGCAAGGTTCGTCATTTCTGCAACCCACCTACATTTGGAGCAGACATGGATGCACAAGAGGACCTATAGCCCCTGCAAGCGAATTCAGCCGATCCTCAGCCTCCACACACCTGTTTCTCATTGCTAATTTGGGGAACCATGAAAGACAAAGCTCTTATGGGTTGCCAGACCTCTGAGATAAGAGAACAAGAGACCAACACTGGATAGCCTTAAACTAGGTGCCAACACCTGACATGGATTGCAGATATTCTGAAGACTAGAGAAAGCAGACAGTATGAATACTACAGAATTCAAGGTCAGGATTTCAAAAACACCAGGGCTTGGGATGAGCTTGAATGGATAAGTGTGTGTTGTCCTGGCACTGTGTGAGTGAATGAGTGGGGAGAGGAAGACCAGCTGTACTGTGGTGGGAAGGGGGTGTTTGGGATGGAACAATGCTGATGTGGTCTTGATTA